GGTATTTTTTATTATAGCAGTCATCAGCGGCTTGTGAGCAGCTGATGACAGCTATTATTTTGAAGGGGACAGTCTGCTGAACAATTCTACTATAAGTTCATTGTCGCTAAATAATTATAAGCTTGTGTATTCTATATATACAATGCAATATATACCATTGGCCAAGTATATTTAATTACTTACATTTGTATGCTTGCATCAAGTATTGCCTATAACATCATAACATGTTCATATTATTTACAATAATTAATTCATCATGCAATAAGTTATTCTCCAGTTTCTGGTCCGCATGGTAGCCTGAAGTGCAGATATATTGAAAAACACAAAAGGGCGCAAAACCGGAGGGGAGGCGGCCTTAGAGGAGGCTCGAGTGGTCCAAGATCAGTGTTCTTGTCACATAGCTGGTGTGCTGTCAGGAAATGCCTGTCACAATTGGAGAGTGCGGGGCTGAGGACTGAAGAGAAAGGAAGGGTCGTGCAGTGACTCCGTCCGTGTCACTCCTGTGTGAACGGGAGTCAGAGCAGTGTGGGCAGGATACGGCGGTACTTGATCTGACTAAGCAGTGCTCGATCTGACTAGACAACTGTCATTGTAGCTGACAAGACAGTGTTCAATTCAGGATGCAGTCCTGTCCCTAAGGGTCTGGTTGATGCGGCATGTAAAGCATCTGACAGTGGTGAATGGGAGAGAGCTAATACAAACGGCTGTAGAAAACAGCAGGTGCTGATGGAGGACTCAGGGATCACCGGGGAGCAACGATTTTCGAGGGTAAACTCTTTCTCAAGCTCTAACGGTGTTACAAGTGGTGGGAATCCGCCGATTTAAAAGTGACAGCTGGGCGGAGCTGTACGCTGTATAACCACTTCCAGCAGATGACGTACAGTTACGTGAACCCGCTGGAAGTGGTTAAAGAGTGGAGGGCATTCACCTAACAAAGTGAATGCTAGTAAATAAGGTGAAGCTGTATTCACTTTGAATACCAAATCCTGTGCTAGCCACAATCTTATTTTTTTAATTTCCCTTCAACGATTGCTTATTTTGAGTGGACACAGCTTTACTGCTTTAGCTTACTAACACTCACTTTGTGTGCGAAGTATGAAGTGTGCGTACACACACAAATCAATCCCATTTCATTCTTTGTCTGACTGTCTAATATCTATGCTTCAAACATTCTACATTCTTTACTCTCTTAAGTGGCTAATATACAAATCACTACATCTAATATAATTACAATATAGAAGAACATGCATATAACATTTGTAAGTCAGAGCAAAAATTACTTTAGAGTAAACACTATATTAATGATTCAAAATATGTGCTTGCTAACTTACACTATACTTTCTCTTTAAAACACAAGTGTTCTGTTGGACTGATAAAATGTTAATCTTTTTGTATATTGCAGGATTAGAAAAGATTGGAAGAGATTCCAGTTATGAACAAGAAGGAAAAGTTCAGTTTGTAATTGATGCAGTATATTCCATGGCTCATGCTCTAAATAGCATGCACAGAGATTTCTGTCCTGGCTATGTTGGACTTTGTACAAGAATGAAGCCTGTTGATGGGAAAGATCTACTTGGATATATTCGCGCTGTAAACTTTAATGGTAAGTTCATATTAAAAAAATACACATTTTCAAACTCGTGCCTGTCATAAAAAAGTAATTTTTTATGTCAGCAAAACATTTGTAATGGCCATATATGCCATTGCGATACATTGTGCTGTGAGGTGTTTCTGATTGTGAAAGTAGGAGCTGAATTTCAGTAAAACAAATATTTTAAATTACAATATTGTTGGCAAAGAAGGATTCAAAATGTTAAAGGTGAACTCAATTTTAATGTCAAAGTAATGAAAGAACATATTTAGGTATTATTACAAAAAAATTAAAAAGAGCATGTGTTATTATAGGCACTAGCAGTTAATTGACTTTTAATATGCATTGGTCCCTCCAGGCTGTACAGTACACATTACTAGATTATGCACCACAGATAGATGCATGTTGGTTGATTACAAAGAAACATAACTCTTCTAAGCATATTCTGCATCACTTAAATCTGATGCTGTATTTAACCACAGGTGTCATGAGGTTTTCAAAGGCAGGAAAAATGGAAAAAGCTAATACAAATGTGAATGCTGTGCTTTGTGTTGCCCCCTATAATTTGCCTCCCTAAGCATCGGTTCACGACTGCCTTATTGTTAATGTGTATCTAAACCCCAAAACAAACATTTAATATATTGCAGCTTATGGTACTTAGATGCGGTGGCTGCAATAATTTTTTTGTTTACTTTATTTTCACCAATTGATTCTACTAGTAGAACATTTTCTATCCAAGGCAATGCTCACTATTTCCCTTCAAATAGATCATGTTAATAAAGTTGATATCAATATTGCTATATTATCACCAAATGTGTACACCTCCCACAAATGCTTCATACAAATAATTCCAACCACAGCACTCTAAATTAAACACTCCTTTGTATATACATACATATATACATACATACATAAATAAATAAATAAATAAATAAATAATTTGCACCAATAGTGTAAATATCAATCAGTCCCAGACAAATATATATGTGCCTTTATACTGTATCACTCCACTTCTAGAGGTCATAATGTTGCTTTAAGTAATCTTGTGGAATTCTACTATCAATTACAATTAAAATAGGTCCACCAGTGACTGCTCCCTTCACCATTAATTTTTCTGTGAAAACTCACCATAAATTATGGACCCTTGTATAAACAGAGGACATAACACATTTTTGCGATTGATAGGAGGATTCCACAAGATCACTTGATGCAACTTTATGAACTGTAAAAGTGGAATGCTCACTTACTGCACAGCATTTATGGAGGAACAGTGTTGTCACCATAGGCTGCTTTCATGATTTGTAATACAAACACCTTCCCCTTACCAAATCCTTTACACAGGGTCGATGTGTTCTGTAGTACACAGAAGATAACTAAGAACGTTGATAACATTGTTTGAGAATTCAGTTTATAGCGCATATGAAGTGTACAGGACACTGTACAACAAGATCAACTGTACAACAAGATCAACAAGTATTTTTCTATACTTGCAGAAAACATACTTTGTCTAAAAAAAGAAAAAAAAATGCAGCTACCACATCTAAAGGTTTGTAAGAGTGTTGATATGTATTCGAAGTAGAAATGAATCTATATTTTTAAAAAAGACACTTTGTTTAATGAAAACTCCAACTATAAATCATAAATTGTCATTCTTTACAATATTAGATTTTCAGGTTCTAATCAGAGATTTTCTTTTAGTGTAGTGGTGTGAAATGCATCCTTCAGTAACAGATGTAACTGACTGGTTGAATACATTCTAAAAAAACACCCTGCATAATGATTACATATCATTGTTACCATTTTTCAGAATCAGCACAAATAGATCGATGATCTTCAGAAAAGCAGATAAGTGTTGAAAAATATAGTAGCACAGTCCTGAAAAAATCTTTGTATGGTATTTAAACATAGCTGTTTCTTAAAATGATAAGAATTATCATTACATTTGCAATCAGAGAATCAAATAAAATGTGAGTTCATGTAATCAAAGTATTTGTAAACGCAATATGTTTGCACAGCCCTTAGAGTATGCTAGAAAAGGCTCTCAAACACACAAACATCAGCAGCAGCGTTTATCACAATACACTTCATTGACCACAGCTGGCAACCTTTTTGAAAATGTACAAGGTCATTCTGAATTTAGCTTCCAAGTAGAAACAGTTTTTGCTTCAGGTGATATAACTGAGGTGCTTGGTTTTTATAGCTAAACACCAGGTAGCTTCCAGTATTCATTTAGTGAATAGAGTATATTCTTAATTTTATTAATGCATTGTATTTCTGATTTAATACAATAGAATTAGCTGATTTAAAGCCAATACCATTTTGGCTTTTAGTAATAAAAGCCAAAATTATCTTAGAACTCATTTAGAACATTAAATTGAACCATTTGGTGAAAAGTAGGCTCGGCCCTATGTGTCTATTTCAGTAGCAAATGATATGTTTTATTGAAGTAAACCTGTACTACATTTGAAACTTTTGAAACTTTTTACTGCTATTACTTCAGTCCATTGTGCTCTGTGTAATAGTGCTGGAGTGGGCTGGCTATAACACTCACAGCAGAACCCTGATGTGTACACAGGGTGAGCTGTTTCCCAGTGTAATCAACAGGATTGGGCTGTCAGTTTTACAGTCGGATTCTGCATAGCACAGGGGATGACAGGTGTGATACAGTGTCAGGAAAGAATCCTGCCCAAGCTGTAACACCCCCAACAACCATGGTTTCCAAGACGGGAGTGTCTACTGCCACTGCTCAAGCCTGACTTCACTAACTGTTACCACCGCTGTTTAATAGACATACAGTAGAATGGTAGATGGCTGTGCTAATCATACCAAACAGTGAGTACAGCAACAGTGGGGAACAGAACAAGTTAATTGTAGCTACTTACTTGAAAAAAAATGCAAATTAGCAACATTTTCAAGATAGCAGGTCCTTTGAATTAGCTTTTTCATAGTGATGTCAACAGCAATAATGCTTGTAGTGCTAACCCATCATGTTTTTAAATTTTAACTTGCATACATAGACAGTTTTTATGCATGTTTTAGTCCATTTTGTGGACACCTGTCTATGCCAGTATTAGCTAATGTGTATAATGCTTTTACAGAGAGCATATAGGTATGCATAAAAGTATTTTAGCTTTCATAAAATATTTATTTAGAAGCAAAAAAGAATATTGCTGTATTACCTGCTATTGTGGCACAGGGGTTTGTAATACAAATTGATCACACGCATACATATAATTCTACACTTCCCTTGGAGTTCTGCTTTAAACAATTCCAGTAAAAACTCATGTGAGACATTCTACACATATAGTAGAAGACTAATGATATATAAGAATGTAATGTATTCTTCTGACAAAGAGATTCAATATAGAAAACACTGTAAAGTGATGGACAGCCAACCAGGGATTTTAAATTTTCCTATGGTGTTTTGTTATAATAAATGCAGTTTAAAGTCCATTTCCACTTTTGTAAGTGATTAACATTTATTGTGGTAATGTAGAGGTGCAATGATGATGTATATGTGTGTACATTTTCATGACACACATTTAGGCTTTCTTTATTTTTTATGGACTTTTTATTAGGCCTTAATCCTACAAACTCAGTCTGACTCCAGGGTCGGATTGTAAGGTTATGCAGGTAATAAAAAGCTTCCCCCCTCCCTGTTTTTCATTGTAACATGATCACTAAACACCAGCTCTGCCTTTCCAGGTTACAGTACACTATCCAGGGGGGTTGTCATGATGAATACTAATGAATAGGGGGTGGAGAACTCTGAGAAAGCTCAGTTGTAATTTAAACAGATTGCTTGCAGAGCACAAAGACAGCAATTTCCATGAGTGAAAGTGAAAAGTGAAAAGGACTGCTAACAAGAAAAGTAAGTTTCTGTGTTTATATACAGCAACTGCATCTGCCTGCTTCATCATGCACACTCAGTGTACATTGCTGGCATATGTTTGTTTAAAAATACCTCTGCAAAGGTGGAAATGGGCTTTAAGATAACAGTCACTGTTTTTGCTTCTGTTCATGTATGCAGAAACTTCAGAATGTCTGAATAAATTCTCTAGTGCCACTTGCTCACAGAACTAATGGTTTAATGGTTTAAATAACCTTATGGGTTCTATTCACGAAGCAGCCGAAGGATCTAGCCGAAGCTTCGGTCGATCCTTCGGCTAGCTTCGGTCGATCCTTCGGCTAGCTTCGGAGCCAGCCGTGATCTTACAGCTGGCTCCGGTCACTTGTAGAGAGATCAGCTAACCAGGGACACTGATCTCCAGACAGCAAAGTCTCCCGCTCTCGGCCGCCCAGGAGACAAACACTGCTTTTTCTTTTGTTTCTTTATTCTGACACAGAGCCGTGTCAGAATAGAAAAAAAAATTGCTCATAGGAATGCATTGCTAGATTCCTATTGGCTATTTCAATTTGCAATAGCCAATAGTAAACTAGCATTGCACCCGCCCTCTGCTGATGGACCTGATGGAGAACTGCAGCAGAGGGCGGGTGCAATGCTAGTTTACTATTGGCTATTGCAAATTGAAATAGCCAATAGGAATCTAGCAATGCATTCCTATGGGCAAAAATTTATTTATTTTTCTATTCTGACACGGCTCCGTGTCAGAATAAAGAAAAAATAAGAGAAAGCAGTGTTTCTCTCCAGGGCGGCCATGAGCGGGAGACTCCCAGAGCACCCGGGAGAGGTTTTTTTTCCCTTTTTGACGGCAGCAGAATCGCAGGCCAATAGAAAACTATTGGGCGGAGCTAGCTGTCGATGCTAGCTCCGCACAATCATTTTCTATTTATTTTTTTTAACTTTTTTAACAATTTTTCCATTCTACTCGGTCCCTCTGAGGGACCGAGCAGAACAGCCAAGCCGAATGCTGCTCAGCAGCAATCGGCTATTCACTCCCTGCTGTTCGGCATCAATAAGAATAGACCAAAAAGCAGCGAGTAGCCTGCCGGAGGTTCGGCTTAGCCGATCCAGATGTTAGAACGGCTGAGTCGAACTCCTCCTGCACCTC